GATCCTCCTCTCCGGAGCATGTCAGATGTGTGCCTCGTATGCTCCCCGAACTTCCATTGGCAGCAGCTGTGCGGCACCGGGTCCGGGCCTAGCTACCCCCTGTAACGAAGCGTGCGCAGAGCAGTGCGGGTCGGCGGGGGTCCGGGCCTGGTGCAAGTGGGGCTGGAGTGAGGCGGAGATACCCATGGGGGAGAAGACCTTCCCGATCGGATGCTGCCATAAGTTTCCCCCCCTTTCTCTCTCTTTGTTTGGGGTGTCGGCCTCCGCGACGAACCACAGTGGACTCTGGCGGTTGGACTCTAACTCAATTAACTACATGCGATATGAGGTGGAGAGGGGAGGAAATGAGTGTGGGAATGTGTAATTTGTGTCCCCTGCCACTGCCATGATGGGAGCTTTGTCTTGGAGATGGGGGCCGCAGGCCGGGGGGGGAGGTATTTGGCGAGCAGAGCGCTCCACGAGGGCTGGGAAATCCTAGTCCCCTAACATATGAAGTGAGTTCCTTAGGTTACACAATCACATTGGCCGGAGGGAGCTGGATGGGTAGATATAGGTCCGGGACGTGGGTGACCCCCTTTTGTGCGAGAGCGCACATTATATGGCTTCACCATAACTCGGGACTGGCTGGTCGGACCGCGGGCACCGGGCCGGGGCCCAGCTGCTCCCTGCAACGAAGCGCGCGCTGAGCAGTGGCAGCCTGCGGGGGCCCTGGTGCGGTGCGAGAGCGGACGAGTTGGACCGGCTGGATGCCGCCGGGGACCTTGCCCCTCAACACAGTAATGATGACAGACCCGACTAGCAGAACACATGAACCCTCACAAATGATTGCGAACCCATCTACCCGTAGGGGGTGTAGAGGGGGAGGGAGATACGGGAATATGCAAAATATGCCCTTCCTTCAGGTATGATATATTGGCCACACGTGATGGGGAGGGGCGGGAGGAACAGCGGGAGCATAACTGGGAACTCCACATCTGGGACGAGACGAGAGGCTCACGGGAAGCTTAGGTAGAGCCGAATACAGATAACACAGATATGCAACCCCAGATGGAGGAGGATAAGGACAGAGAGGTACCATGCAAAGGGGGGGAGGATGCGCGACCCCTGACACCAAAACCAAGTTCACGTAATTAAAGTTAAAAAAAAAAAAAAAACCTAACCGGACCACTACACCCTAGCTGATTCTGACTCTGACAGTTTTCCTCTAATTTCTTTATTTAGCCCAACTGCCACGTAAAGGAGAAAATAGTCTCCTACAACCCTCGTGCTGTGGGACCCCCACGCACTGTCTCTGACAGAGACACCCTGTACATAGTTCCCCCTCACCTACCACACCCTAGTTACTCTCTCCCTACCTTTCACCAAGGTCAGATAAAGGAAACCAACACCATTCCACTGCAATAGCCCTACACCAGTATCACCAAGAGCGCTGCTTAGGTCACTCAACCCACCTGGCCCATATGGGTCCCGCAATATACAAAAGGCGTACTATCCAGCAAAACCCATGAGTATCTTATAGGATATGAAAATAATAACTATTAACGCAAGAGGACTTAATACACCTCACAAGAGACGACTTCTGGCTGCAGAAGCGCAACACACTAGAGCAGACATAGTATGCATTCAGGAGACACATTTCAAACATAATAGGGTACCCGCCCTTGCAACAAAAGACTATCCCATACAATATCACTCCACATACTCTACTAAAGCGAGAGGAGTCACCATTCTAATTCACAAGTTGCTATCCTTTGACCTCTTACAGCTCAAGAAAGACACACAGGGCAGATACCTGATTATCCAATGCACAATCAATGATGCAATTTACACCATAGCAGGCATATACAGCCCTAATCAGAACCAACGGAATTTTCTACACAAAGTACTAGCCAAAATCCCTACTGAAAGAGACTGCCATCAAATACTTTGCGGTGACCTTAATCATATACTACAGACAAGACTGGATACCACAGCCCCGACTGACTCCCCACGGGCCAAAACCTTACGAAAACAGGCCAAAGAATTAACAAAATTGCTAGCAGAATATAACCTCTATGATACATGAAGAACACTACACCCCAATGACAGAGAATTTACCTTTTACTCTCGGGTGCATGGCACGTACAGTAGAATTGACTACATTTTTGTCTCAGGAGACCTTCTACCCAGGGTGTCTCAGGGCGACATAGGGAACATTGTATGGTCAGACCATGCTACTGTACAGATGACGTTACAAGATACCTTCAGCTCCAGAGGGAAACCGCCATGGCGCCTCAATGACACACTCCTATATAACAAACAATTCCAAGATAAGTTGACAACGGACATAACGACATACTTCAGTGATAACGACACACCTACGATCTCACCAGCTACCTTGTGGGAAGCACACAAAGCAGTCATAAGGGGTATAATAATAAGCCAACAGGCCTATCTCAACAAGCGAGAAAAACAGGAATATACTGCCCTTCTCAGATCCCTCAGGGACGAGACAAATAAACAAATTCAGCATCCATCACCTACAACACAATCCACAATAGACTCATTAAAAGAAAAACTTAATGTCATACAATTACAAACAACGGAAAACATAACCCACAAGTTAAAACTAAATACATATACCCAAGGGAATAGAGCGGGGAAACTCCTAGCATCACAACTACGACACAAAAGGCAAAACGCAAAAATACCATACCTCTTAAACAAGCAGGGGAACAAAATTTATAACCCCCGAGACATTAATGATTTGATGGCGGATTACTACGACTCTTTATACAACATTCAAAAGGACACGTTAACACATCAACCACAACCAGCAGACATTGACGGCTTCCTGGAGGGAATTAGCCTCCCTACTCTATCTCACACGGACCGACAAACCCTGGAAGGGAAAATCACACAAGCAGAAATGGCGAAAACAATAAAAAACCTACCAAAGGGGAAGTCACCTGGGCCAGATGGCTATACTAATCTATACTATAAAACCTTCTCACATATATTAACACCCAGGCTGGAACAACTATATAATCATATTGTCCACACAGGTGATATCCCAAAAGAGATGTTATCGGCACATATAACGACATTACCAAAACCGAGCAAACCACCCAACAAATGCCAAAATTTACGCCCTATATCATTATTAAACACTGACCTGAAAATTCTGGCGAAAATATACGCTAATAGACTGGGGAACATAATACCAACGCTTGTCTGTAATGACCAGGTCGGCTTCGTGCGGGGACGACAAGGCTCAGACGGAACTAGGAAAGTACTAAACATCCTCCACAAAATCCACACACAGGGGTGCCCGAGTGTAGCATTGTCGTTAGACGCTGAAAAAGCGTTGGACAGGCTGCACTGGGGATACCTCAAGACAGTTTTACAGAAATTTGGATTTCCCAACTGTTTTACATCCTTAGTCTCGAGTTTATACAAAAACCCAACGGCAAGAATAGCAAATGGTGGATTTGTATCTAAATTGATCAACATAACCAATGGCTCCAGACAGGGCTGCCCACTTTCCCCATTGTTATATATCCTAGCGTTGGAACCATTGGCACAGAAGATTAGGGAAAGCCCAAATATACATGGCATAGAGATAGGAGGACATCCACATAAAATTACCATGTTTGCGGACGACGTGATGCTAACCTTATCGAAACCGGAAACCTCTTTACCTACACTACAAAACATACTCAAACAATTTAGCGACAGCACATACTATAAACTAAATGTAACAAAGAGAAATAGCAGAGATGGAGGATTGATCGCCTCATACAGAGACCGGGCTGATCACCTCCAAGCCACCCCAAAACAGCGTCTCAAAAATAATAAACAATTTTATTGGGAAAAACCTTATTAAAATCAAAGAAGGAAAACACATCTATCTATAGATAAAATAAATAAAGCTCAATATATACAGAGTATGGCTGATATATATATGTATATATAGTATAGTATGTCAAATACCTATAGGTAAGGTATAGTACATATATAAATACATAAGAACCATAGACTGTGCAATGCAAGCCCGATACAGAATATAGAATATGGCTTTCTTCTGTTATTCTTTTTCGTTTGATGATTCATTTATATATGTTTTTTTGAACTTTCTACCCCTTTTACTCCACTCTTCTGAATGCTACTAATGTAGCACTCCGTTCTTTAGGACTTGTTATTTATACCGGCATATGTATAACACTGTGTACGCTAAGTTTACTATGTACACATTCGCGCATGCGCACGGACTGACCCTGTAATCGGGTTTTATGTTATGCGCATGCGCGGCTCTATGACATGCGCGGTTCTTCCTGATACTTAGCCTGACACTAAGTCGGCGCGCCTGCGCGTGGACAGGTATGCGCACGGACTTGTGATACGAGCGGCTATCCCTGTCCCTCCTCCTCTGAGATGGAGCCGACATATGGACGAATCAGATGAACTGGGAGGTACTATCAACGTTTAAATGGAGTAAGGGGGGATTGTTCTGTTTGCCTCATTTTACTTTGTGCCCTTGAGAAAGGTGGTTAATCCACCGAAACGCGCGTTGGGCTATGGGCTATTTTATATAGCTAATCAAGTTTATTTTGTTTTTTCTTTGTACCTTACAGTATGGTTTAGTGGTACTGAGCGTTTTTGCAGCTCTGGTTTTCTTATTTAGTGATAGGTGGGCTGGTTATCGGGATTAGGCACTCAGACCTAGTTTTCCTGTATGTAGATCTATAATCAGGTCTTTCTGCTTTATTTTTCTCCTTTAATTTATGCCCTCTTCTATCCTTTCGATTTCCATTCAAAACTTAACCCTGTAGGTACAGCAGCAGAGCCTTTGGCTACTATTGTGGCTTACACTGTTTCACTTCATAATGATTTTGCCACATTCTGATATGGTTAACCATACTCTGCAGCGATTAGTTTTTTAAGTGCAGAATTTTTGGTTTTTCATATTTACTATTGTATCTACTCTTTATTATTATTTTTTTGCACAGGTACTTATTATAGTATTATATTTATATTTTAGCCATATTCTATATTCTATATTCTGTATCGGGCTTGCATTGCACAGTCTATGGTTCTTATGTATTTATATATGTACTATACCTTACCTATAGGTATTTGACATACTATACTATATATACATATATATATCAGCCATACTCTGTATATATTGAGCTTTATTTATTTTATCTATAGATAGATGTGTTTTCCTTCTTTGATTTTAATAAGGTTTTTCCCAATAAAATTGTTTATTATTTTTGAGACGCTGTTTTGGGGTGGCTTGGAGGTGATCAGCCCGGTCTCTGTATGAGGCGATCAATCCTCCATCTCTGCTATTTCTCTTTCTGTATCTATTATAGGGTTATGCCCTTTTGCCACCCCATTCACCCATTTTTCGGTACTCCAAGTTGGGCTGTCTAACTAGGTAGTACTATTTATTTAAATGTAACAAAGACACAGGCTATGGGCTTTCATCTAACCAATACCCAACAGGACTTGCTACGGAAGGAATACTCACATGACTGGAGACACGATCATCTCACGTTTCTGGGCGTCCACCTCACATGCAAACCACACAGGCTTTACAAAGCTAACTACGTAAAATTGCTCAAAGACATCCAACAACAAATTCATAACTGGAAGGGCAAATACATCTCCTGGACAGGCAGAATAGCTGCAGTAAAAATGATGATACTACCTAAAATGCAATATCTCTTCAGAACCCTCAATATCAAAATTCCGCAACGCTATCTTAAAGAGGTCCAAAGTGTGCTTAATACATTCCTTTGGGAGGGGAAAAAGCCCAGAGTAGCGGCAGAAATTCCGTATAGACCCTTTAAAGAAGGTGGCATGGGAGCTCCTGAAATAGCAAAATATCATGATGCGGCTATGATAAGCCCAATTATTGCATCCTTCCACCACGTAGTGCCACCCCCATGGAGTCACATAGAAACTACCCAAACAGGCGGCTTTCCACTCGCTGCTTTAGCTTGGATACCAAAACACCAAAGACCGAAATTTAAAGACATATGTCCGACGACAGAGGCTTCCCTCCAAGTCTGGGACAAACTAATAAACAAACATCGCCCTGCACCATACATATCCCCAGCATTGCGAATCCAGGCTTTGGCAATTCTAATCCCTGGCTTCAATTGGGGCTTATGGCACACACGGGGAGCTACCTCCCTATCCAGCGTGATGAAGGGAGAATCTATTGAGACTCTTGAGTCCTTGAAACAGAAATTTCATCTCCCCCAACAATCCTACTTCTCATACCTACAGATGAGCTCATGGGTGACAAAGCGGGCTAGGCAAAACAATAAACACTCACATGACAACACTATAGCAGAATTAGAGAGAGCGTGTCTAGCACCCAAGCCACCACAAAGGAGTTTATCTTCCCTATACAATATAATCACGAAAAGGGTCGGAGTAGGGAAATTGAAGTTTATGAAAGCATGGGAAGTAGAAATGAAAACTATCATACCCGACGAGATATGGCCAAGAGTTCTACGAGCGCACAAACACCTCACACTCAACACAGCTCATATTGAAACTTGTAGGAAAGTACTTTACCGCTGGTACATGGTGCCCTATAGACTCCATAAAATGGACCAAAATAAGCCAGAGGTGTGCTGGAGATGCTTCAAAGAAACATGGACAATGCTCCACATTTGGTGGACTTGCCCCCTAATCCAAAAATTCTGGAGGGACATAGCGAACATGATCACAACGATAATAGGGAAGGCACTTCCACATACTCCTGAAACATACCTACTTCAAACAATACCACTCACTTACAACAAAACGGAGCAATACCTAGTATATCATGTGATTGTTGCCGCTTTAGCGGCCATTGGCAGACAGTGGCTGAACATACAGCCCCCAGACCTAATGCAATGTATGAGAGCAGTGCACACAACCAAAAGATACGAAATAGAAGCCAGAAAATTAAGACCCTCCAAACGATACTGGGAAATAGCATGGCAACTATGGGATGATTGGTATACAAAATCTGCCTCCATTCAACAAACTACAACCAACACTGATGATTATCCTCAAGCAGGAATGCTAAAATGAAATGGAAAAGACTGACCACCTCACCTCCCCCTCCCTCTTCCCCCCCCCAGTTCTCTTCCACTTTTTTTTTTTTTTTTTACTCCCCCCTTCTAACATCATCCACATATAGCACCGCAACTACTGGGGAGATAGGAGATAGGATAACACACTATATAATGACAAGAATAGGACATCACCAAACTGTTAATGCTGAAAATAATCAACTGTGGCAAACTGTGACGATGTCAACATTAGCATGTGTAAACGGGAGAGTCTGTATCTCAAACTGTATCAAGTGTATCAAGTGTATCAAATGTACTGTAAACTGCAATGCAATTGTACCATCAATTCTGTAAATCTACCTGATGGATTGACTGTTTACCTGTAACGATACTACCCTGTCTCCAATGTACGTTCGGTGTATTTCATGTGTGCTACCTAACCTGTATTACCCATAAAAAACCCAATAAACTATTTTACAAAAAAAAATAAAAAATCCTGGAAACTGACAGTTCTACTTTAACCCCTTAAGGACCAAACTTCTGGAATAAAAGGGAATGATGACATGTTACACATGTCATGTGTCCTTAAGGGGTTAAGTGAAAGCATTATTTAAAGCACTGTCACGCCAAACTTTCCCAATCGTTTACTCTTCTTTTCCTCTTTCCTACTGTTTTTTTTTTCATTTTTTTTTTCACCCAGCTATTTCTAACTAAAAACATAAGACAGATAGGGACTACTTTGTCTTATATATTTTTCCTATACTTGACTTTCTTTGACACAAGGAGGAAGTTAAGTAAGCTGAGCTTCCTGTGTCTAAGGAAGGTTTCCGACAATACTGGGAAATCTATTCTCGTGTTGTCAACTTTTGCTCTTTCCTGTTATGTGGACCAGGGTGCCGCCGAAATGACCAAATTTCATCCGAACTGAATGTTGACAATTTTTGTCCAAAATTCAGTTATTATTTTCAGCTTGGAATTTCACCGGGAATAATGAAATTCCGATCCGGGCCGTGGCTGCATCTTGCAGCAAATTAATATATAACCACTTAAATTGGTACCCTGTGGGATTGGGGAGCTATCTACTAAAAAGTTGAAAGAACCAAATGATTTACTTAGTATTAATGAATAAGGGAGGCTAAATTTTCCCTCATGCACCTATTCGCTGTGCTTGTCTACTAAACTGCGAGGCAGCCCATGCCCTCCCAAGACCCCCAATCCAAGAAACTGAGACCTGGCACAAGCCCCATATGCCCCCATGGTGGGGCACTTCTAAAATAATTAATATAACATAATGTCCCTTTCCTAAGTGATAATAAGGAGACCTATTGTCCTCCCTGCACCCACCAATTAGTGGCAGGTAGGGACCCTAAGTGCTAATGATTTTATATAAAGTGATTCTTACCTAATCGCAAACAAAAACCACTGGCTGCTCACTTTTTTGTAATTTTGTTTATAATTCTTTATTTTTGGTGCATAGATAATACAAACAAGCCTGCAACACTACAACAGCTATTGCTAGCTTTTCAAAAGACATATAAGGACATTGCTTGGCATGCAAATAACATTGTGAATACATTGCACATTTTATAATATATTGTAAAGTGAACATGAGAAAATTGAGAGTCAGTGCATACACAGAAGGGTGAAACAAAGCTTGATGACTGCAAAATACAAATTAAAATAAACAGTAGGCACTGTATAGCTAAGCAACAATGTTTTCCTGGTAGGCCACGTAAAGAAAATAAAAGAAGGCATCTGATATGAGACTAACAGGCCTGAGAGCAAATAGGATAAGAGGTCAAAAAACATCAGGAGAATATTTCCCCAAATAGCTAAATAAGGCTACTAGTTCTTTTCTCTGTAACCCTACTAAAATCCCCATTCACCCTATGCCTTGGATCGGTAGAGCACAGTCCTCGCCCATAGGGGAGCGTGCCAGACTTTGAGGCCCAGGTGAAAGGCAGTTAATTTTGTTGACCAGGACTGGTGCTCTCCGTGGCATATCAGGATTGGTGAAGGGCTTTGGCTTGTTCCATGTTGGTTGCCACATCCGTGCCGCTTTTAGTTTAATCAAGCTCAGTCGTTTACGATTCCTCTATGTTGGAGCCTTCACCATTATCAGCTTTTGCCATCTCTGATGGGGATCTAGAGCCTGTAAGCATTGTCGACTTTCTGGTGGGGGGTGCTGTGCATCACAATAGGGTTGCCGGCCTGCTAACTGCTTCCAGAATTCATCGAAGTACCTGTTTATTCTGGATTCCATATCCAAGAGTGCCTCACTAATGGTAGGTAAACATGCGGTTTCCGCCATTTATTCTGGGTCAACGTGATGTTCAATAGCTTGGATGGCTCTGACCTGCCTCCCAGGAGTGGACCGGGATCACCCCCACCGGTCAAAGAGGGGAGGAAACGGGGTCTTGCTGGCAAGTAGTTCCCTCTAGGCACCTTTTGGGCTGGTAGATCAGCCGCTTCTCCCTCCCATCGAGTACTAGGCCGCATCAGCAATGAAAGTGGATGAAGGGAGATTTTATGCAGCTCTTTGACTGTCACCAAGTGTGTCAGGTAGGTCAGGAGGTAGCCGTATCACAGAATTTGTCCTTTTTGTTCTAGATTATGCTTGTAAAATCATCTTAGGGCAAATTAGTAGAGGAGCTCGCTTGACATGTGACTCTCCTCCATGACAGTCAGACCCGCCCAAGGCTGCTCAATTTTTAGTAGACATGCCACTATTTAATAGTGCCCAGTGTGGATACCGTGACAGAATCAAGTGAAAAGAAATCATTAGGCATCCAGTTCCACCCTCTGCTGGGAGATAACTCAGAATATGCTTTAAAGGGCAATGTGGTCAAACCAAAAAGAAATGGTGTTATTTTTATGTTATGTATTGTTTGATTGGATAGTTATGAATAGTTTGAGGGTTTAGAGTGACAATTGCTAATAAATAATGCAGGTATAAATAACAAAGCTTGTTTGTTTTTTTGTAAAGTGTATTCTGAGTTTGGAATAGTTTGGGATTTCACAGCCTATGCAATGAATCAATGCCAGCAGGGTTATTACTAATGTGAGACTTGTCAGGAATTTACAATTAATTCTAAGGGAATTTCTAATTTAAGTTCCAAGTATTTTCCCAGTTCAGCAACACTGGCCTTACATTTGAAATTCACTTTGAATTCCTGTTCCTGTTTTGTTGGTAAGGTTTATGTCAAAGGTTTAGGAGAAATAACCCAAAATGTAGCAAGCTCACTTGAATTAAAATCCGAGACAACCAAAATCCAGAAGGCAAGACAATATTCAGTGTCAAACAGTCCAACAGTCAGAAAATCCAATAGGCAGTAAAGGTTCCAAGACGAGTAGACTCTGGGGTCAAAAACCAGAATAACGGAGAGAAAGATAAAATCAAGTGTTCAACAGTACAACCACAGAATAACTGAGCAATACATGCTCCGCTGTTCTATGTTTAAATAGGATGCCTTTGCTCAGCCACGCACCTCTAATTTGCCTTCAAACCCCCACTAATCATTTTGCCATAGGGAACTTAATTGTGTAATAGTTCTCTTGTTCCACATTGAGCAAACATGCCTCTATGGTGTGTGGGGTTGCTTGTGAATCATGATACAATCTGCCCAGATTGTCACTCAAAAGGGGTGATCTATGTATTAAAATGCCCATGCAACCTCCTCTATACAGGCAGAACAATTAGATGCCTATATGTAAGGATAGCGGAACATACAAGAAACATAAAGAATGGGTTGGAGTCACACAGTGTCTCGAACCATTTCAAAATAGCTCATAATCAGAACCCTGAAGGAATTTTTTTTTAGCGCCATTAAAATAGTTAAAAAAGATTGTAGAGGAGGCAACTATACAAAAAAAATAGGAATGGAAGAAATGAAATTAATTTTTAATTTTTATTCTATGACCCCTCAAGGGCTTAACCAAGATTTTGAACTATGCCATTTTATGAATTTACTTCCTTTAATATGCCACTTTATCACTTCAGGTTTTATAAATTACTTTTGTTAGATGTACCAATATTTTAATAATATTTTTAGAATTTTAGGAGGTAATAGGCTGATCTTTTTAGTTTTAGTAGTTTGAGATTTTAAAACATTGGTTTAATTATATTTGTGTTTTGAGAATGAATATGTGCACCTCTGAATATAATATTTTTAGTACAACATTAAGAAATGAACACTTTTTTAAATCTCTTGGTGATTGCATTGGAGTACCATAAGTTAATGTATGTCTCTTTAAATAAGTATTGATACATTTGCTGCTTCTCCTTCCCATTGACCTCGGCTTGCTTCACTACGATTATCATCTTTCTGTTCCAGTCTCCCATCTCTGCTAAAGACCAGAAGGCCACTCAAGGCTCAGGGGTTCAACCACCTGGGTAACGAGTGGCTACCTCTGGCAGAAAACATTGCTGATCTGGCTACTGGACTCCAAAACTTTGTTACATCAATAACATTACAGAATAATCTGGCCCATTCCTGGAGACCGTCGGATCAGATTCTGCATTGGCCCAGCAGGTTGCTTTTAATGCAAGAACTATGCAGACCCAGACCATTCAAGTGCTGCAGGATCAGGTAGCTGAACTGCAAAATGAAGTTCGATCAATGCATAGTGAGCTTAGCAGCTACAGGGCACATGATGTTGCGGCTGCTGCTACTACTACTGTTACACCTGCACAAGATGCCCGCTTGCCTCTATCAGAAAAATTTGGAGGAGACTGCAAAAAATTTAGGGGTTTCCTAAATCAATGAAGTTTGCATTTCATGATGTTACCTAACCGTTTTCCATCTGAAAGAGAGAAAGTGGGATTTATTTTTTCCCTCTTCAAAGATGAAGCCCTGGCCTGGTGCTCCCCTTTTCTGGAACAGGACAGTCCAGTCTTGGGAAATTTAAAAGACTTTCTTGAGGCCATGTGCCTAGTTTTTGATGATCCCAATCGCTGTGCTACAGCAGAAGCCACTCTCCTTCATTTACATCAAGGGAGGCGCTCTGTGGCTGAATATG